ACGTCAGCTTTAGTTATGGAACCTTAATACACAAACTGTTTACTGCTTCTTAGATAATCTTAAAGGTAAAGGTACCCCTGCCCGTATGGGCCAGTCGTGTCCGACTCTAGGGTTGCGCGCTCATCTCGCTTAAGAGGCCAGGAGCCGGCGCCATCCGAAGACACTTCCGGGTCACGTGGCCAGCGTGACGAAGCTGCAGCTGGCAAGCCAGCACCAGCGCAGCACACGGAAACACCGTTTACCTTTCCGCTATAAAGTGGTACCTATTTATCTACTTGCACTTAGGGGTGCTTTTGAACTGCTGGGTGGGCAGGAGCTGGGACCGAACGACGGGAGCTCACCCCGCTGCGGGGATTCGAACCACCGACCTTACGATCAGCAAGTCCTAAGCACTGAGGTTTTACCCACAGCGCCACCCGCGTCCCTTTGGATAATCTTGCTTTAAGGCAATTAAAATTTCCCCACAATAAAATATAAATGTCTACCCCAAATACACATTAAAGCAGATGAGCCAAATTTGTTGCTTTGGTTTCTTCCCATTTGCTTTCACTCTGCTAAATTCATTTTTTTCTTTGCTTACTCACAGATTACTTCCTAATACTACTGTGCCTGACTCACTTCTTTCCTGTTCTTTGTAACCTGCTACCTCCCAATACATTTATTTTACAGGCATACCGCACAAATCAACAAGGTGGCAGTCACATCTGTAAAACAGCATAAAAGCAAGCACCTGTAGAGTGATATGCCGTAACAAAGGAACTGAGTGATAAAATTATGAATTTGGCTATGTTCAATGCAGGCATTTGAAACAAAGTGCTACTGGTGTATCCTAAATATTATCAGGGAATTCCACAGCCTAGGTGCAGGGACACTACAACTACACCTTTCATGCATTTCCATTATTTAAACAGCAGAATTCTTATCCCAAGCCATAACTCTGTATCTGCATCTCCTTTTGACTTCCTTACTCTTCCTTATGGGTAGGTATTTTTTAAGACTAAGTGTATGGGCATGATTCGTTCTTTTTAATCTATGGTCACCAGATTTTTTTCAGTGAATCCGGGGACACTTTTTTGAAGCTGAGTAGCAACAGGGAGTCAGTAGTGGGGATGGTGAGGCAAAAGACACACATGCATGGGTGAGGGCCCAAGCACACATGCATATTGTCTAAAGGAGCAAAGCCTTTCTTTCGCACCCTGTGAAACATAAATGCACAGGTTGTTTTTTTAAAAAAACTGGGCAACGGCGCGCCACCCACCTGTGACACCTGAGCCTTCCTTAATCTCCTGCCCCTTTCCCCCTTTGTTTGGGGGAGGCTCGGGAGTCATGGGCAGGCGGCTGTTGCCCAGGAGGGGCACAAGGCACATGGTTTCCCTGCCAAGCAAGGTGCAAAGCCCTTCTTTCTCACCCTGTGAAACATAAATGCGCAGTTGTTTTTTTAAAAAGACTGGGCAACGGCCGACCACAACTCCCGACCCTCCCCCGATCAGTCAGAACAAAGGGGGCAGGGAATCTGTACCACCAGACGTCCCTGGTTCCACTTTGACAGTGGCGGCAGCAGCCTCAGCAGCCCAGAGCCAGCCTGGTAGCGCAGTTGGCTCTGGTTGGCTTCAGGAGCTGCTTGCTGCCCACTGCCATGGTGCCCACCATTTTTCCTCTCCGGAAGTCCCCATATGATGTGTTGCGCACAATACACATCATATGGGGACTTCCAGCGAGGAAAAATGGCAGGCATCACAGCAGCGGGCAGCAAGCAGCTCCTGAAGCCAGCCAGAGCCAACGGTGCTACCAGGCTGGCTCCAGGCTGCTGAGGCTGCCACTGCCACATTTTCCGGGGACAGATTTGCAAATCTGGGGACATTCCAGGGACAGAATTTGTCCGGGGACAGATTTGAAAATCCGGGGACTGTCCCCGGAAACAGGGGACATCTGGTAACCCTATTTTAATCACCATCCAATGTTTAGATTTTAGGCACTTTATAAATCGTTATAAAGTTATAATTGATAGATAAACTCAACTTTTGTAGAACACATCAGCATAGGAGCATAGAAACCTGCCACATACCATGACAAGACCATTGGTCCATCAGCAGCAACACACCAGGGTTTCAGACAGGGCACTTCCCCAGCTTTACCTGGGGATGCTGAGGATTGAACCTGGGACCTTCTGAATGCAAAGCAGTTGCTCTGCCACAGTGTTACTGTACTGGCAAACTGGCCAAGGTTTTCTTGATTCAAGTAGGCAATAAAGGACACCAAGCTTGTTTCTTAAATGGATTTTATTCAGAGAATGAGGAAGGTAAAGAGCAAAGGAAAGCAGATAAACTCTTTCAGTAGCCTGAGACTCCCCTCTGGATGGCAAAATGGTCAGATCCTGACAGCAGAGGTGCAGCACTTGGACACACTACAGCTGTATTTTTCTGTGGATTTTCTGCAAGGACAGAACTCTTGTCTCACCTCATCCTCATTCTTGGAACACATTAATTGCCTGTTCCCTGGGTTAATCCTCCCGTGGCCTTGACAATATTTCTGCTGTCTTACAAAGCAGGCAGTGATAATATCTACACTACCCATGTATATGGGGAGGCACCCACTGCCAGATGGTTCTGTTGAGAGATTCAGCATAGGCTTACCTAAGAAGTCAACAGCTCAACATTCTCAGGCAGTACCCAACAAAACAACAAGAACCCACCAACAACATATGAATCAATATGGCTAACAACCCAACAATCCCCCCCAGTGGCGTAGCGTGGGTTGTCAGCACCCGGGGCAAGGCAAGTAATTTGCGCCCCCTAACCCGTGGATTTGCCCTAACCCCAGATGTTGCGCCCGGTGCGGCCGCCCCCCCTGCACCCCCACGCTACACCACTGATCCCCCCATGCCCGCAGGCAAACAAATCTCACTGCAGCCCGCTAAAGACAACCAGCCATGCCTGCCCTCCACCTCTCTCAGTACCAAGGAAATTAAATGGATAGAAAGGGAAACGACCCAAGCGACGCTGACATAAAAACCACACACAAAGACCAAGCATTACCATACCCAACCCACCCCCTCTCCCCCCTCTTCTTCCCCAACTTTATTCTGCATACAACATTAATGTCTCACTTCAAATGTAAAAAAAGCCTACAACCTGAAAAAGACAGTGCATGTACTTTTGCAAACCAAAACAATATTTAACTTTTTTAAATGTTATTTAAAAAACATTAGACTGTACTAAACTGTACCGTTGGCATAGAATTGCTACAAATTGCCACAAAGAACAATGCTACAAATGTATAATGTGTATCTCTTCAGGGGCTAAAGTTACTTCACGTATAAGGAAAGAGGGGCTACATACAGCTACACAAGTACAGTAACTGCGGGAACCCCCCGCGTCTTCTTCCAAAGCCCGGTATGCAGCCCTCCACCTTGCCGTCTGCGCAGCGGCAGAGACCCCAAGAATTCCTGTCTTTTAGAGACTTCGCGGAAACGCGAGGAACCCCCCGGAACCGACCCTAAGTGTAACATGCGAATTACACGCACATTTCACGGGGACTCTCCCCTGACAGTGGGGGGGGGGGAAGGGATGCAGCAAAGGCACTTTCTAGCATGCAGAACTGGAGGGACAGAGAGATGCTGCGGGGGGTACCTGAAGCGGGGAATAGCCGTGCCAGCCCCGCAACCATAAGCAACTGTTGAGTTGCTGTATTACTCCTTGCCCTCCTCCCCACACCTTCGCCGCAGCCCCTCATAAGCCTCCCACACACCGCCAGCCCCTCGCCTCACTCACCTCCTGCTCCGGACAGGTGCCCGTGAGGGAACGTGGCTGCCACAGCCGGCCCGTAGGCGCGGACAACCTTGCTGCCTCCGGCTCTCGCTCTCTCCGCTCGCTCAAGCTGTTCCGCCAGGCACTGACCCCGCCCACCACGCGACGGAAGCCTCTCGCTCCAGCGAAAGAGACCGAGCCGGCATCCGAGCCGTCTTTTTCTAGACTCTTGGCCCCGCCTCCCTGGCTCCGCCCACAGTAGTAGATAAGTAAATGAGAGGCAGGAGCACAAACGCGCGTGCTCAAAAAGCCTTCTCCCCGCTCTCCCGCCACCCTAGAGTTAGGAAAAACTCTAGAGTCGCCTCAGGCTCTGTTTGCCGCTCTTCTCCCCTCCCGCAACCCTAGAGTTAGGAAAAGCAGTAGAGTGGCCTCACACTCGGCTTGCCGCTCTTCTGCCTCATTACTCATTTTGCATAGACTTATAAAACAGTAGGCGGGTCATTCTCACTGCCGGAGACGATGCGTCCGATATAGATATACACATATATAGTTAGCACACACGCACAAAAACTCTTCGCTCGCCTCCGCACGCACGGCGCCTGCGCGCCCTGCGAAGGTTGCGCCAAATGAAAGGGAGGCGGGAACGCAGGACCTTAGGCCGGTGCTGATTGGACAGCAGAGTTTCTCGCGTCACCAGGAGAAAAGGAAAACAAAACTCCACGTGCTGCCTTGAACTCACAGCGAAATTCTAGTGGCGCCTGTATTTTTTAAATTGTTTCTGATCGCTCATTGATTTGGCTGCACTCTTCATTTTAAAAGGGCGCAGTTCGTTTGCATGTGCTTTATTGTGCTTATTTCTCTCTGCTGTGTAACGCTATTACAGAGACAGACGCAACAACAACCCTGTGAAGTGGGCTTAGGCTTCGAGAAAGAGAAGCTAACCGGCTCAAATACCACACGCAGTGATCACCGTAGCTTAGCAGATGCTTTAGCCTTGGCCTCTTACCTGGGTCGGCTTTCTAACATCACCCTTTATCTAAAGAGCTCTGGGTATGTCACACACATCGCTCTGCTTAAAATAGCCGCTCAGAACCCAATCCAACCCACCCATGTTTAGCACAAGCTCCTGGCCTCCCGAAAAGACGCGTCCCGCCTCTCCTCTCGGGAGATGTTTATTCCTCTCTCCAACCAACTCGCAGGGGCGGGGATGAAACGTATTTCGAAAGTTCGGCCGAGGCGCTCTAGCCTTTCCAAGTCAACACGCTCCTTCCGCTGAGGGGAGGAAACGGTGTAAAACAACCGGAAGTGGAGCCTGTGGCGCGTGTGCTGGACCGCTTTGCCTCGATCTGTTACCGAAGAAGAAGCAGATGCATCAGGTATATTTTCGTGTGTTTATCTCGCATTACAGTAGCATGGCCAGTTCGTAAAGAGGAATTAGGGTTCTCGGGATGCTGTTTTCGAAGCAGGAAGGGATGCTTAATTGCTTTGGAGAGCCAGTGTGGTGCAGTGATTAAGAGCGGTAGACTCCCTAATCTGGTGAACCGGGTTCGCGTCTCCGCTCCTCCACATGCAGCTGCTGGGTGACCTTGGGCTAGTCACACTTCCCTGAAGTCTCTCAGCCCCACTCAACTCACAGAGTGTTTGTTGTGGGGGAGGAAGGGAAAGGAGAATGTTAGCCGCTTTGAGACTCATTCGGGTAATGATGAAGCGGGGTATCAAATCCAAACTCTTCTTCTTTAGAGTATTTAGTATTATAGGTGCCTAAAGCGCTTCCACGTGGGTTACTCCTTTGTTTACTGCATTTATTCATATCGCACGCTTGCTCTAACCAGTTTATTGCTGATTGTTGGTCACACTGGCCGGGGCCAATTTATTTGTTTTTATTTATTAATTTTTCATCTCATCCATCCCAAAGGAGCCCAAGGTGGGAAACCCATCCACAGTTTTAAAAAAGCAAACTCTTAAAACAGTTCTAAAATGGCATTTCATCCACCGTTTTCAGGACTGCCAGGATCAGTGTTTTTCAGCCACCAAATATCTGGGTAAGCTTGACAATTTCAAATTCTTCCTGAAAGTTAATAACGTTGGAGACAGACTAGCCTCACTAGAGAAGGCATATGACAAACCTGAAACCACCACTGATAAGGCCCTGTCATGAGTCAGGACCAACCAGACAACCCTCAATGGTGGCACCACCAGCAAGGCCTCATCTGTGTGTGAGATGCTTGGTATTAGTATTGTAGGGGGGGAAATGGAATTGGCTTTTGCTGCCCAATTTCCCAACAGACTCTGAGTCCCCTAAGTCCATGATCAGTGAGAGAAGAATGGATGGAGGCAAGATCCAGTGAAAGCAAGGCAGATCTTTAATTTTCTGTTGTGTGACAGAGTTCCCCCCTCCTTGCAAGGAGATGAGAGGCTCAGAGCAAAGGTTTGTAAGCCGCTTTAAAGACTTTCAACAATGCTCAACCCCTTAGCCAAAGACCACCCAGAAAAATATCACAGAAAGAGGCAGTCTGCCACAGACATTTGAGAGTGTGGCTTCTCTCCTATCTGCCAGGATACCTGATAATGTTTTACTGCAGGGGTCAGCAAACTTTTTTCAGCAGGGGGCCGGTCCACTGTCCCTCAGACCTTGGGGGGGGGGCGCGGACTATATTTTGAAGAAGAAGAAAAAATGAACCAATTCCTATGACCCACAAATAACCCAGAGGTGCATTTTAAATAAAAGCACACATTCTACTCATGTAAAAATACGCTGATTCCCGGACCATCTGCAGGCCAGATTTAGAAGGTGATTGGGCTGGATCTCCCCCCCCCCCCCGGCCTTAGTTTGCCTTCCCATGTTTTACTGGTTGCATTACCTGGGCAGTCTGGCTATTCTTTTGAAGTAAATACTTTAGTTCTTGAATCCAGGTCACAGGTCCACCCTATTCATACACAAAGTATGCCCTTAAGACAGGATTTGGAAGTGAAAGAACTAATGTATCAAGAAAGGCTTCTCTTTAGGTCATTAGGAGAGCCATGATGGTTTTTTAGGATTGTTCTGTTTTCTCAGGGAATATTTCCTAAATTTTGATGATGGAAGGATTGGTTTTCTGTGGAGTGTATGTCTGCTGTGTGTGTGCATCATAAAATTTTATAACCATAGGTAGGATATACTACTTGCTGGTTACCAGGGAAGGAGGGAGTGCTGGTGACCTCAATTTCCGCACGCCTGGAAGAAGCGGACCATTTGGATCCCTTCCAGTCGGGATTCAGGCCTCATCATGGGACTGAAACTGCCTTGGTCGCACTGGTTGATGATCTCCGGCGGGCTAGGGACAAAGGTGGGAGCTGTTTCCTAGTTCTGCTGGATCTCTCAGCGGCGTTTGATACCATCGACCATAGCATCCTTCTGGACCGTCTTGAGGGGCTGGGAGCTGGGGGCACTGTCATACAGTGGTTCCGCTCCTTCCTCCTGGGCCGTGTTCAGAAAGTGGTGGTGGGGGATGAGTGTTCAGACCCCTGGGCTCTCACTTGTGGGGTGCCTCAGGGTTCTGTCCTCTCCCCCATGCTTTTCAACATTTACATGCAGCCGCTGGGAGAGATCATCAGGAGGTTTGGGCTGGGTGTTCATCAGTATGCCGATGATACCCAGCTCTACCTCTCTTTTAAATCAGAACCAGTGAAGGCGGTGAAAGTCCTGCGTGAGTGTCTGGAGGCGGTTGGAGGATGGATGGCAGCTAACAGATTGAGATTGAATCCTGACAAGACAGAAGTACTGTTTTTGGGGGACAGGAGGCGGGCAGGTGTGGAGGATTCCCTGGTCCTGAATGGGGTAACTGTGCCCCTGAAGGACCAGGTGCGCAGCCTGGGAGTCATTTTGGACTCACAGCTGTCCATGGAGGCACAGGTTAAATCTGTGTCCAGGGCAGCTGTTTACCAGCTCCATCTGGTACGTAGGCTGAGACCCTATCTGCCTGCGGACTGTCTCGCCAGAGTGGTGCATGCTCTGGTTATCTCCCGCTTGGACTACTGCAATGCACTCTACGTGGGGCTACCTTTGAAGGTGACTCGGAAACTACAATTAATCCAGAATGCGGCAGCTAGACTGGTGACTGGGGGCGGCCGCCGAGACCATATAACACCGGTCTTGAAAGACCTGCATTGGCTCCCAGTACGTTTCCGAGCACAATTCAAAGTGTTGGTGCTGACCTTTAAAGCCCTAAACGGCCTCGGTCCAGTATACCTGAAGGAGCGTCTCCACCCCCATCATTCTGCCCGGACGCTGAGGTCCAGCGCCGAGGGCCTTCTGGCGGTTCCCTCATTGCGAGAAGCAAAGCTACAGGGAACCAGGCAGAGGGCCTTCTCGGTAGTGGCGCCCGCCCTGTGGAATGCCCTTCCAGCAGATGTCAAAGCGATAAACAACTACCTAACATTCAGAAGACATCTTAAGGCAGCCCTGTTCAGGGAAGTTTTTAACATGTGATTTTACTGTATTTTTGGTTTTTATGGAAGCCGCCCAGAGTGGCTGGGGAGGCCCAGCCAGATGGGCGGGGTATAAATAATAAATTATTATTATTATTATTATATTATTTCTGCTTGGTGGTTACAAGAACTCTTCTGATCCAGAAGAACTCTTCTTATGTTCTTATGATTAGGGCTGCAGGTCTGTAGTAGAGCATCTGCCTTGAATGCAGAAGGTCCCAGCTTTTTCAGATAGGGCTGGGAATGATTCATACTTGATACCTGAAGAGCCAATCAGTGTAGACAGTACTGAACTAGATGGACCAATGGTCTAACTTGGTATAAGGCAGCTTGTTATGAAAGTTTGGAGGGCACTGTGTTGACTTCATCTCCTGTAGTACAGAAGCTTTTGTGCACTGGTCCCATTTTGTCAGATGCCTAAAGTGTTTCCCTTAGATGCATGCTGTAACAGCTGTTTTGGATGATCTCATCTTAGTATAGCAAACCAATATATGAACAAACCTTTTACAGTGGTACCTCAGGTTACATACGCTTCAGGTTACAGACGCTTCATGTTACAGACTCCGCTAACCCAGAAATAGTGCTTCAGGTTAAGAACTTTGCTTCAGGATGAGAGCCGAAATCGTGCTCCAGTGGCGGCGCGGCAGCAGGAGGCCCCATTAGCTAAAGTGGTGCTTCAGGTTAAGAACAGTTTCAGGTTAAGAACGGAGCTCCGGAACGAATTAAGTACTTAACCCGAGGTACCACTGTATATATTTACACTTATATCCCTGACAGGTTCTCAAAAGCATGAAAGCTTCTAAAAAACATTATTCACAGAACTGCAACCCAAGAAAATGTGTCATGCAACTGATGAAGTTACCATATTTTTTGCCCTATAGGACACACTTTTCCCCCTCCAAAAATGAAGGGGAAATGTGTGTCCGTCCTATGGGGCAAATGCAGGCTTTCGCTGAAGCCTGGAGAGCGAGATGGGTCAGTGCGCAAGGACCCCTCTCGCTCTCCAGGCTTCAGGAAGCTATCTGCAAGCCATGGGAGCCCGCGGGAGTTCCCGCTGGGCTCCCAAGGCTTGCGGACAGCAGCCTGCAGCCCAAAACCTGGGGAGCACAGCGGAGCGCGCCCTGGGCTTCGGGCAGATATCCGCAAGCCTGGGAGACCGGTTCGACTTCCCGCCAGGCTCCCTAGGCTTGCAGATAGCAGCCTGTTCTGGGGGCTGGGGTCGGGGGAAGCTCGGGCTTCCCCCGCCCCAGCCCCGCCCCTGGGGGAAAAAATATTTCCCCCCCTTTATTTCCCCCCAAAAAAACTAGGTGCACCCTATGGGCCGGTGCGCCTTATGGGGCAAAAAATACAGTAGTCTTTAAATTGCAAAACAAAAAACAACCAAAAAACTCAAAATCCAGACAGCAGCCCTGCAACCAATGCAGAGATGTTGGGGGGAAATACAGGTTTTACTTTCAAACCTACCCAGTGAGTTTAAAGGCCTTCTTCGGGAACTAAACTGAAAAACAGCCTGCAGAGAGATCTGTGGGGTATATCTCCCAATACCAATATATTGCAGAGTAGTGTAACAGTTAAGAGTGCTGGACGTGGGCTAAATTCATATTGAATCATGAAGCTTACTGGGTGACCTTGGTCCAGTCAACCCATCTCTCAGACTAACCTATCTAGCAAGTTTGCTCTGAGGATAGAATGGGGAGGTGAGAACTACGTACACCACATTGAGTTCCTTGCATGAAAAGGCAAGATGTGAAAATAATAAGTAAATAACTGGAAACTAGCACTGAAGTGCCGCAGTAGTGGGCCTGACGGTGCCTAAATACTCTTAAGACTGTTTGAATTTTAAATGCTGTATCATGTTTTAGGTTGGGAGCTGCCCAGAGTGGCTGGGGAAACCCAGCCAGATGGGCGGGGTATAAATATTATTATTATTATTATTATTATTATTTATTTGCCACCTCTCCTTTTAAAGGAAATTATGCACAGAGCTGATGCATCATCAGCCTCAAATGGCTTTCATTTCCCAGAATTGGTGAAGAAGAAAAAGAAAAAGAAGAGGAAGGAGGGCCTTAATGGACAGGGGGATGACCAACCTGTGAAGGCTGCCCCTTGCTCACCTCCATCTTCCGGACATTCCTCAATTTTTCCTTGGCTTGTTGAGGATACAGAAGCTACTGGGGCCTGTAGAAAAAAAACAAAGAACATAAAAGCTGGGAAAGAGATTCCAGACTCTGAGTCGGATGCTACTTGGATCCCAACAGACAGTGAGCTGAATAGCAAGTCTGGAACAGAAACTCGCGTATGTAATAAGAAAAAGAGGAAGTATCAACATAGTGAACAAGAGGGTGGCAGAGACTTTTGCATTCCTGAGACTCCAGAAAAGGCCAGCAGCCTGCATCCTGTGGTACCCTTAATGCAGCGCTTAGATCTTTCCCTGCAGGAGAAAAAGCAGACACCTCAGTTGGACAAAACTGCAGAATTTTGTAGTCCCATTGCACGGAAGAAGAAGAAAAAGCGTAAAAAAGCTGAAACTCCAGAAGAGGCCAGCAGCCAGCTTGAAGCCAGTGACTTGGAAAATGCAGGTTATGTCTCTGAATCCACACCTGTTCAGAAGAAGAAGAAGGCAAAAGTGCTCTTGTTAACAGAGCAGGCCGAGGCAAATGGAGCTTCTGACAGGCTCACAGATATTAGGGCTCACCCTCCGACTTTGCACAAGCACAATAGAACAGACTGCAGTGACACAGAGGACACACAAAAGGACCTCTTTGCACCTTCACCTCCTGCAGTACTCGTAACACAGCACTCAGACCTTTCCCAGAAGGAGAGAAAAGAGGCAACTGAGTCAGACAAAACTGTGGAGTTTTGTAGTCCCATCGCACGGAAGAAGAAGAAAAAGCGTAAAAAAGCTGAAACTCCAGAAGAGGCCAGCAGCCAGCTTGAAGCCAGTGACTTGGAAAATGCAGGTTATGTCTCTGAATCCACACCTGTTCAGAAGAAGAAGAAGAAGACAAAAGTGCTCTTGTTAACAGAGCAGGCCGAGGCAAATGGAGCTTCTGACAGGCTCGCAGATATTAGGGCTCACCCTCTGAATTTGCACAAGCACAATAGAACAGACTGCAGTGACACAGAGGACACACAAAAGGACCTCTTTGCACCTTCACTTCCTGCAGTACTCGTAACACAGCACTCAGACCTTCCCCAGGAGGAGAGAAAAGAGGCAACTGAGTCAGACAAAACTGTGGAGTTCTGTAGTCCCATTGCACGGAAGAAGAAAAAGCGTAAAAAAGCTGAAACTCCAGAAGAGGCCAGCAGCCAGCTTGATGCCAGTGACTTGGAAAATGCAGGATTGCACAAGCACAATACAACCAACTGCAGTGACACAGAGGACGTGAAGGAGGACTTCTTTACACCTTTGCCTCCTCCTGTACCCTTAACACAGCCCTCAGACCTTTCCCAAGAGGAGAACAATGAGGTGAATAAGTTGGACAGAACTGTGAACTTCAGCAGCCCTGCCACACAAAAGAAATCACATAAGCGTAAAAATGCTCCCAGCACGAATGCTTCTGATGGTGGGTAAGTACCTTACCCATGGATGGGCTTTCTTGGCAGTTGTGAGGAAAACATGAACTGCTTTAGTATTTAAATTGATGTTTAGCAAAAGGGTGAAGGGCTTCATGCACAGGCTGAAGGCTAAAACAAGTTTGTTGGCAACAGATCTCTTGTGTGTCTCGACCCAGATCTGTCCCAGATGTGTAGAAGTGGGAGTCTGGGATTCAGAAGATGCACTGGAGAGAGGGTGGAGCTTAGGAGTGTTGAAGCCTTCCTTCCTTTGCCACTTCAGCTGAAAAAGCCACTCCAGGCAGCTTACAGGTATCAGAAATAGTTGCTTCCCACTGGCTTACAATCTAGAAACACAGCCAATCAGATTCAGGCAGGTATCCGTGTTGGTCTGATGCAGTGCACCTTAGAGACCAACTAAGTTTGTTCTGGGTATAAGCTTTTGTGTGCATGCACACTTCTTCATAATAATAATAATAATAATAATAATAATAATAATTGGCTGTATTAATTCCCCCCAAATTGTAAAACATTTCCATGGTTGGAGTGTCGGATTGTACTAAAAAGACTGTTTCAGCTGCCAGCCACCACTAGTATTCCTTATCCAAGCTTGTGTGCATAGTAAATTGTTTCAATATACACAACACATTCCAAGAATCTTACACACAAGCATTAGATATGCTATTCCAACACTGCATAAGCATCACTGGGCTCGTTGATCAGGTCACCTAGTAAGTAATCTTTCCAAGACTGGAGTCTTGGTGAAGTGTGGCTTTTGTCAATAGCATGTGTCTCACAAGCTAGTGCCAGGCTTTTCCCTGGCATCACAAAGCGATTTTCAGTGCCAACAAGTGCCAGTAATAGTATGCAGGCCTCACGTTTTGCTCTCCTAACAGGCCACAGAAATCTCCAACTCCTGTCCATTCAGACGCTGAGGAATCGTCTTCCAGCAAGTTTTCCCTTGTGGACAATGAGTTTGTAGAATTTACCCAGCTTTCAATGAAAGATCTGGACTCTGCCACCAAGGAGCTGGAAGAGTTCATTCCTCACATCAGGACCCTGAGTGATTCAGCGATTAGACAGCTGGCTGGTCGGGACCTGGTCAGGTTTAGAAATTTTAAGAAAAAAGGTGTGTACAGTCCTGAGTGAGAACACCTTTCACTTGGGTAGGCTCTTCAGTAAATCAAAGGTCATGGCAATTTCTTTGCATAATCTCCAAAGTGTTATGTACAGGTGATTAATACTCAAATAATGAAGGGGGAGGAAAGTGTACACTACCCTTTCATCCTGGGAGGAAAGGTGGAATACAAATGTTGTTATATGTATTTATTGAAAGAAAGGATGTGTATTTGTGTATATATATGTATATTTATTCAGACCACATGTACCCCGTTCTTCAACCAAAAGAGGCTCTGAGTGGCTTACATACAATCCCTTAAAACAAAGCAGTTGCTTCTTATGGGCCCACAATTTAAAAAAGACAGCACATAAGGAAAGGAGGACATGGCAGGCAGAGGAAAACACAAACTCAGGCACCAAACAGGGCTTTAATAGCCAGCTGACACAGAAACAGTTTAGGGGTAGGAGGTTTCTGTTGCAGCTGGTATTCTGGCAGAACTGGTGGAGAGTCCTTCTTTCCCACCAAGATAACCTGATGGAATGGTAGGTTTTACACATACACACATGTGCTCTTTGCAAGGGGCATAACAGTGGTGAGTAACCGGTAGTTCTCTAGATGTTGCTTATTTTGTGGGGGAAAGGTTGGGACACCACGTTTCTTGACTCCCAATTCAGAAAATCAAAGAGTATGGTCTGCCCTCATATATGTCACTCGTGCATGTGTAGGTGTGTACATGCTCAGCAGGGGTGGGGAACTTGTGGCCCTCCAAATGTTGTTGGACTCTTAACTCCTGTCTGCCCCAGACAACATGGCTGCTAATGGTCAAGGATGGTGGGAGATAAAAGTCTAGCAACCATGTGGAGGGTCACAATGTTTCCCACCTCTGGCTTTGAGATGGCAAACATTTGGTGTTTGTCCTAATAACCAAGACCCAAACCCACATCTACAGCTAGCTTATCATTTTATGGTAGGTGTAGAGAAGCTATGGCCATCCAGAGGTTGCTGAGCTTCCAACTCCCATCATACCTCGCCATTGGCTAAGCGTGATGGGGCCGTTGGGAGCTGGAGTTCAGCAATACAGTGGTACCTCGGGTTACCTATGCTTCAGGGTAAAGACGCTTCAGGATACAGACTCCGCTAACCCAGAAATAGTACATTGGGTTAAGAGCTTTGCTTCAGAATGAGAACAGAAATCGTGTGGCGACGATACAGTAGCAGTGGGAGGCCCTATTAGCTAAAGTGGGGTTAAGAATAGTTTCAGGTTAAGAACAGACCTCCAGAACGAATTAAGTTCTTAACCCGAGGTACCACTGTATCTAGAGACCCAAAGGCTTACTGCACCTGTTTTATGGGAGCACCAAGCACAATTTAGGAGTCCTGAAAAATGGCCAGTTTCACAAAAGCTGACAGTAGACAAGTTATCCGTGAGGCTCATGTTGCAACACTGCAAGGTATACGTGGCCCTGAAAACTACTCAGCATTATGAATGAGTGATTAACGATGAAGGGCAAGGTCTGAAATCTGAAACTTTCCTATTCTCCCTTGGAAATGATGTAGGCGTTGCTGTGCGGTTTGGCAAATTTTCCAAGAAAGAAAACAATCAGCTGCGGCACAATGTTGAGGCCTTCTTGAAAGACACTGGGATAGAGTCTGCAGAAAAACTCCTCTTTCCTCACAGGTTCCCCCAAGAAAGAGAATCCATCAACAAACTGAAAACTAAAAACTTGTTTGGTGCAAAGATTGGTAAGTATTTGACTGGGTGGCTTTTGTGGGTGACTTGATAGTGAGGGGTAGTCTTGCTAAAAGATTTGCCTCTCTAGTACATTTGTGAAGCTGTCCAAATTCCCTCCTTTGTCCAAATCAAACCATAATCTATTACATATTTGGGAAAGTTGTTTGTTTTACCATGTGTATGGACACATGTGTATGGACACTTGTTAAGATACCGTAGCCAAATTTAGCATGTTGGTTCCTGAGATCGCGGAGCAGGTATTTAGGTTTGTTTGGATACCATTGGACGCCATTTTGAATCAAGATGGCGAACTGAAATCTTACAAAACTGCCCTGGGTTTCTTCATTTCTTGGATTCCCAAGCAATTCTGGGCACAAGCTAGCTAGTTATATACAAGTTAGTCAGGGATGGAGAACCTTTGGTTCTGTAGATATTACTGCACAAAACCATCAAGAAGAACTTTCTGACAGTAAGAGTAGTTTGACAGTGGAACAGACTCCCTTGGGAGATTGTGAACTCTGCTTTGCTGGAGGTTTTTAAACAGAGATTGGATGGCCATCTGTTAGGGATTCTTAGTTGAGATTCCTGCATTGCAGGGGGTTGGACTAGATGACCCTTGGGGTACTTTCCAATTCTATGAACTCCCATCACCATTGACAGTGATGATTGGGACTAATGGGTGTCCAGCAACATAAGGGAGGGAATGAAACTGAGGTCCCTTTAAACAGCTGTTCTCACAATTACCAACTTGCATACTTCAGGAGTCAAAGGCTCTGATGGAGCTGGTCTTTTGGCCAAGCTGATGGCCTTCAGCTTCCTCTCTCTCCCACACTGAGGCAGCCTGATGGAATGGCTGCTCACAGATGACAGTTTAGGGAGATGATGCAAGATGGAGCTCATGTGGTCCAAGCAGGGCTGATGGAGTGAATTTTATTTTTAACCTCTCAGAAAGAGGGAAACCCCTAAAGAAAAAGATCAACCACAGTCATTAAGAAATCAAAAAGTTCCATGTCTTTTCTAATGTGATGTACGGTTTTCCTTAGCTGGCCTCTGAGAACATGTTCCCAGAGAGAACAAGGTTCATAACGAATAAATGCTGGGCTTATTATATAAATTGAATAAAGGGTGGTAATATTTTGGTGTATAAAAACACAATCATAACATAACTGCTGCAAAATCAGCAACCCATAATCCAATTAGGTCCTTAATGTAGATTGTCTTTAATCACAAAATGTCGATTTTAATGCATCTTTATCAATTCTTCTGAAGCTCAGGGAATTCCAAGGCCTTGGAGGCTAGTATATTACCGAGCAAGAAAAATGTACGATCCCAAGAATTATAATGGAAGGTAAGAAAGGCAACTGGGCTTCTCTGGGGTTTTTTTGCTGTTGTCATGGAGGCATCCCAGAATACTTGGCCACCGAGCCTAACAGGACAGGGTTCTGGAGTTCCTACTCGGAAAGTTTTCTCTCTGCCTGCCTGAACTCCAAAAGACTCACATTTTAGCTCCAGATTTCTGATTTCACTAAAGCTTTAACTTCTGTCCTTTGTCACTTCCAGTTCAATGCATACTTGTGGGGGTGGGGGTTACTGGCTCCTGATCTCAAGGAAGCAAGTCATGGAAGCAATAGAGACAGCCACTGTCTGATGTGTAGCATGAGGGAGTTCCAAATGTAGCATGCCACTACACAAAAGGGACGATTCCTGCATCATAGCAAATGGACCTCCCAATAATATGGTATCTGCTGAAGGCCAGCTCCTACAGAGTGAAGTCAGAGCATAAGAGCCTGCTGGATCAGGCCAATGGCCCACCTAATCCAGCATCATCTTCTCACAGTGGCCATCCACATGTCTGTGGGAAAGCAGCAAGCAGGACCCTGAGCACAAGAGCCCTCTCCCCTCTTGTGGTTTCCAGCAACTGGTCTTTAGGATCATTGCTGCTGCTGGCCATGGAAGCAGAGCATAGTCATCATTGCTAGTAGACACTGATAGCCCTCTCCCCATGAATTTTATCTAATCTTTTTAAAACAATCTAGATTGGTGGCCATCACTTCCTTCTGTGGGAGCATCCTCCATATTTTAACTCCGGTGCATAAAGAAGTCCCTTTTTTATTTTTCCTTTATCTTCCAAAATTCAGCTTAATTGGATGTCCATGAGTTCAAATGTTATGAGAGAGGGAGAAAACTTCTTTCCCTCCACTTTCTCCAAGCCATGCATAAGCGTAGAAACTTCTATCATGTCACCAAGTAATTGCCTTCTCTCTATGTGGAAAAGTCCACAATGCTTCAACCTTTCTTCATAAAGCAGTCACTCCATCTCCTTGATTATTTTGGTTGCCCATTTCTAAAGCTTTTCCAAATCTGCAATATCCTTTCTGAGGTGACACAACCAGAACTGTACAGTCTTCCAAATGCGGTCGCACCATAGATCCATATGAGGGCATTATAATATTGATTCCATTGGTGCTTCATTGGGTATGTACTGGGTGAGAATGTAAAATGTATTTTGCATTGAGCAATTTCTTTCCAAAATGTTCATTTACCAAAGGTTGCTCTTGGATCCAGTCATAAGCATTATTATTATTATTATGTTTATCTTTATTATGTTTATTACATTTATAACCTTCCTTCAAGGAGCTCCTCCTCCTCATCTTATCCTCACAGCAACCCTGTGAGGTAGGTTGGTTTGAGTGACTGCAGCTGGCTCATGAACATCATGGCTGAATGGGAATTTGAACCCTAGTCTACTATGTCTTGGTCATAGGAATGGTGCATCCAGAATACTATGCAAAGAGTTAATGCTGTAGCATAGAATCTGTAGCAAGTATATTGTGTTGTGCTGCTGTCTGCCTCATAGTCAGTCTGTAAATATTAGTCAGTCTCAGAGACAAGTTCATGTAAATATGTTTCAGTAGTATAAGTACCGTATTACCTGCCTTTCTTGTTCATTCAATCTGACAAGAGCAAGCACACCTAGTAAAAGCCATATGTTATTTTTAAACTTTAAAAGCAAGTGTTGCATAGTTGTTGTTTTTCTGGGAGAAAAAGAGAACTATTAAAAAGGGCCTAACAACTTGGGGCAACCTCCGCACAACTCTGTAAAGTATAATTACCACAAGTCTGACACACTAACCCACTACCAGTGTAACTAGCTCATTGAGAACAGCAACCCCTTTTCTCCCTAGGTATTCCGAGTTGGAGAAGAAGAAGCTCAAGAAGTATCAAGCGATGTATGGCAACAACTGGAAAAAGATCTCAGACCTGATGTCTCGCAGCAGCCATTCAGTTGAAACAAAATTTTCTGAGATCAAGTGTGGTATATTAACACTCCTGCTCTTCCTTCCACCCCACCCCAACCCTGGCCTAATCCTTCCTCAAACCAGGGCTCAGGGCTTTAAAAATAATTATTTAAAAAAATCACCAAAAAGCAGAATTATGGAAATTGGGCTTGCTGGTGTATCTTTTTTGGATCATTTATTCTAAGGTACTTTCTTACCTCTGTCATTCAAGTTTGGCAACTTGAGGGTGAGGGAGCCAAGGGGACAGAGGCCCAAAAACGTTTGGGAACTACTGAACTAGGTTGAATGGAGGACTGTTGCTATCTGTTTAAACCAGCAATCCAGTTTGCTATTCTTGTTACTGATGCTAGCCAGCCAAGACCTTCCCCTGCATAAGCCCTTGCAAGATGTCTAGAGCTGATAATGAATTAAATCAGAGTTTCCCCCTTTTAAATGAATTCAGCGTATAACTCCGGTCCTTGGGGTTCTGAAGAGACAAGGAAGCTAGTTCAAGCCATCAAGGAGACACTGCTGTCCAAAATGAGAGACTCAGACCCTGCTTCAGAGAAAGAGGATGAGGATGGAGCACTCATGGTCACGTATGAGAATCTCTGCAAGGGCATCTCATGGTCCAAAGTGGAAGCCAAAGTGGACACCAGGCACTGGAGGCAGTGTAAACAGAAGTGGTAAGAGTGGCCAGGGAACCTTTGTCTCCCTCTAGACATTGAGCACAACTCTCATCAGCCACTGGCAACATGCATGCGAAAAGGTCCCAGGTTCAATCCTTGACACCTCTAGTTAGGTCTGCAGAATGATCCTTTCAAGAAACCCCTGCCAGCTGTCCTCAGGCAAATTGTTCCTCCCTTTTCCTCCTGACCTGGCCACAGTGATCCATGCAACAGTCACCTCCAGGCTTGACTACTGTAATTCGCTCTACGCGGGGCTGCCCTTGAAACTGTCCCAGAAACTCCAGCGAGTGCAGAATGCTGCAGCGAGGCTCCTCACAGGGTCTCTGCCATGGGAGCATATTCACCCAGTGCTTTTTCAGCTGCACTGGCTCCCGGTGGAGTACAGGGTCAGATTTAAGGTGCTGCTTTTGACATTTAAAGCCCTTCACGGCCTAGGACCCTTGTACCTACGGGACCGCCTCTCCCGGTATGTCCCACGGAGAGCCTCAAGGTCCATAAATAGCAACACTCTAGTGGTCCTGGGCCCCAAGGAAGTTAGATTAGCTTCAACCAGAGCCAGGGCCTTTTCAACACTGGCTCCGGCCTGGTGGAACACTCTGCCTCATGAGACCAGGGCCCCGGAGGACCTGATTTCTTTCCGCAGGGCCTGTAAGACAGAGTTGTTCCACCTGGCATTTGGCTTGGAGCCAATTTGATTCCCTCCCCCTCTTTCTTTTTTCTTTTCCCTTTCTCCTGTGATGAGGCTACATTTTAATATTTTAATGTTTCAATATTTTAATGTTGTATTTTAATCTTGTTTTTAAGTTGTATTCATTCAACTTGTTTTTATTACTGCTTGTTAGCCGGCCTGAGCCCGGCCTTGGCTGGGGAGGGCGGGGTATAAATAAAAATTATTATTATTATTATTACTAGGTGGGGCTATTCAAATTTGTTGCTCAAATTGGCTGGGGAGGGCGGGGTATAAATAAAAATTATTATTATTATTATTATTATTATTATTATTATTATTATTATTATTATTACTAGGTGGGGCTATTCAAATTTGTTGCTCAATCCCCTCCTTTTAATTATTGCCTTTTTATTTTATTTTCTTTCATTATACAATTACAAATTCACACCCATATTTTCACTTACATTTAAGGTATAACAATCCATATTGTGATTACCTCCCCCCCCCCCCCGTGATTTCCCACCACCACATTGCAGCTTCTTCTATTTACATTTCATTTTCTGTTGTTTTGTATATCTTGTTATCATTTTTGCACAAAATAAATGACTTATCTATCTGGATTTTTACTTATCCCAAACTTCAATATCTAAAATGTCCGTATTTCCCAAAATCATGTCCTCTCTTAACCAGCATAAACATGTGGCTTTATAATAGAGTTTTAAATCTGGCAGAGCGAAGCCTCCTTTTTTATCCATTAGTAATTTGTACTTGGACTGATGTGGGTGGCGCTGTGGTCTAAACCACAGAACCTAGGGCTTGCCAATCAGAAGGTTGGTGGTTCGAATCCCTGTGATGGGTGGGCTCCCGTTGCTTGGTCCCTGCTTCTGCCAACCTAGCAGTTCGAAAGCACATCAAGTGCAAGGAGATAAATAGGTACCACTCCAGCAGGAAGGTAAATGGCGTTTCTGTGCACTGCTCTGGTTTGCCAGAAGCGGCTTAGTCATGCTGGCCAAATGACCCGGAAGCTGTCTGCGGACAAATGCCAGCTCCCTCGTCCTATAGAGCAAGATGAGCGTGCAACCCCAGAGTCATCCGTGACTGGACCTAATGGTCAGGGGTACCTTTGCCTGTAATTTATACTTGATACGTGGTTTCTTGCCCTGCCAAATAAACTTGGATATGTCCCTCTCCAGATTTTAAAACACTCCATTTCCCTATAATTGGGATCATTTGAAAAAGAAATAATATTTTGGGTAAAACATTCATTTTGATAGTCGAAATTCTTCCCCATAGTGTCAAATTTAATCTATTCCAGATTTCCATATCTTTTTTTATTTCTTTCCATACTTTATTATACATGGTTACCCCAATTCCTAAATATTTGACTTTCTTTGCTATTGACAGACCAAATTTTTTTGTAACTCATTTTTCTCTTGTTCACCCATATTTTTAACCATTAATTTCATTTTAAATTTATTCAATTTAAATTCTGAAACTCTACCGAATATACTCATTTTTTCCAGCATTTTCAATATACTTTCCTGTGCATTTTCCACCATTATTACTAAGTCACCTGCAAATGCCTTCAATTTACTGAATAAACAATTGTAATCAGCTTTCTTTTTCTTCTTAAGGATTAATATTTTAACCAAGAAGTTTATGGGTAAGCGGACGAAAAGGAGCAGACTTGAACACCTGCGGATAAACATTGCCCTCATTGAAAGGTATTAGCAAAATTTATTGTTTGTTTAATAAAAATTATATACAATGGACAACAGAAACAAACTCATGGTTTTCAAAAGGAATAAGACAATAAAACTCTGGTATTTATATGCATGAAAGTTTCCCCAGGTTGTTTGACCCTTTTGAAAATATAGTTCTCTTTTTCTTTCCTATAAAAGACTGTACAATCTTCTCTGTTTAGAGTTTAAACTTAACATCTTCCCTGACAATTACATTACTTGGTATACTAAAACATATTTACACATGTGTGTGTATGTGTGCTCTCTCACTCTCACTCTACAGTTGATAACTGTCAGTTTGCATTTTTTGGTGCAGAGGGTATTTGATGTACAGAGATCTTTCCTTTTGATGTGCAAAGATCTTTCACATTCTAATTGATTCAAGTAGGTTTCTGGAAGCTTTTTCTGTGTGATACAAGCTGGTGCCAGGTGAAAGTTTCTAGATAAAAAACAAGTCTCTATTCTGCTTAGAAATAAGTAGAAGGCTCTTGATGTTTAGGTTATAATTTCAAAGGAGCTGAACAGCTTGTTCAAACTCTTCTATTATCTCTTTCTATCAAGGTCATGCTGACTGTAATAATAGGCCAGAAGGAGCCTGTTTCACTTTCTCTTTTGTTCTGGTGTGGTGTTCTGTACAGAGTACAGTCATACTCTGTATGGTTGAAGTAGCTTCAGGATGAGTATTTTCAGGTTGCGCTCCGCGGTGACCTGGAAGTAACGGAGCGCGTTACTTCCGGGTTTCGCCACTCACGCATGTGCAGACGCTCAAAATGATTTCACGCGCATGCGCAGGAGCGGCGAATCACCAGGCTCACGGACGTGGGTTGCGTTCGCTTCAGGATGCAAATGGGGCTCCGGAATGGATCCTGTTCGCATCCAGAGGTACCACTGTATGCTTAGTCTTTAGGTTTCAGTATATTGTAAGTTTTAAGTTAAGTCTACTGCAACTGGATTTCTTGTGGACAGTGCCGATCCTGAAGATAATGGATTCATAACTGTTAAGCTCATTTGTCTTCAGTAGTAAAAGCTCTGCTGGATGAAGCTAATTGCCTCTGGTCTATTTTGGGGGAATCATGCAAAGTATTTAAGCTTTTACTCTGCTAACTATATGTTGGGATCTGCTCTGGATCAATATTGAGGCAGAATTCATGACAGAAACTGCCTATTATGGTGATGTCATAGGATTCTATATTACATTAACTCTTTCCATAGCATTTTGGATTAACCACTCCCACAAAAACTACCAATAAAAACAGTTTAAAACTATTTTAAAGCATTCAGTAATAACTACAATCAACTAAAAACCAGATCAAAACACATGTCTGGGTAGGCTTGCCTAAAGAGAAATGTTTTTAGCAGGTGCCGAGAAGCATATAGGCAGGGGGTTTCAAAGCATAGGTGTTGCTATGCTAAAAGATTGATTCCTTATAATGCAGAATGGGAATTATGTGGCTTCTGTAACAGTGCCAGTTCTGCAGATCAAAGCGGTTGAGTGAGTGTATAAGCTCTGCCCAGGTTCCTTACAAGTACCTGGAATCAGTCTCAGATCCTGTGATGCTGTCATTATACAGCAGAATATAAGAAGCTAAGCAACAACAACCAAAAGACAGGTCTCCTTTCTAAAGAGCGCATTTAATTTTAACAGTAGCATAGGGCTGTAGCTAACTAAATTACAGTCAGAATAAACCAATTGAAAATTAAGTTTTCTGCCCCACTGTTTTCAGTTGGTTTACAAACCTGCCCAAGCTCTGAGATCATCAGGGAATCTTTCTTTCAGTCCTACCACCCTCACAGACATGTCTGGTGAGGATGTGAGAGAGGGCTTTCTTAGTGGCTGCTCCTAGACTTTGAAACTCCCTTATTAGAGAAGCTAGACTGGCTCCTTCCTTGTTGTCCTTCCTCAAGCTGGTGAAGACTGTTTTATTCCAACAAACTTTTTCAACTGGCTGCTTTTAAGGAAAGGGCTTTTAACGGTGTGCTGTTTTCACCAGCTGCATTTTAATAAATTGTATTTTACATCAATCATTCTAATTATATTATACTTTTAAACTTTTATATGTTTTTAGCTTTCCATGTTTTACCCATGTTTAATTTTTGTGTGTGAGCCACCTTTAGTTCAGTTTCTGGGGAAAAGGTGGGACAACACTAAAAAGATAATAATAAAGATAATAATAGATAATGAGCAAATCACCCAGATTTCTTCTGTATTTCAGGTTGTATGAAGTGGACGCTGATGACGTGGAAGAAGTTGATTGGGAAGAGATAGCCAGTGCTATAGGGTACATTAAAAAATATTTGTCAGTAACATGGGGGAAGTGCCTACAATTCTGTGTCCTTGTTGTCAAGTTCTGAATGTATTGCTGGTCTGTATAATGCAGGGATTGGGAACCTGTGGCCCTCCAGATGTTGCTGGACTCCCAAATCTCATCAGCTCCCAGACAGCATGGCAAATACTCAGGGATGATAGGCGTTGGAGTCTCAACAACCTCTGGAAGGCCACAGATTTTCCCACCTCTGATCCAAGAAGAAGAATTCCCTACTGAATGTAAGAGAAGGAAGAATGCCTCTAGAAGAGGTGATCCCTTCATGAAAGAGAAGGATTCTGCTTCTTAGATCAGGGCTGGAGAACCTGTACCCCTCTACATAGTTGCAGGATCAATGGTCAGGAGATGATGGGAGTTGTAGTCCAACATCATGTGGAGGTTCATAAGCCTCCCATCTCAGGTGTATGGAAAGGAGCATGTAATGTTTCTGAACGCGTCTATTAGAAGCGTTTTGGCAAGTATCGATAGCAAAGGAAAACACAGTTAAGAACTGTCTCCTGGATCAGGAGAACGGCGAGCTCCATGGACCATAGATGTTGACTGCTTTGTTTACAGGAGCAATCTTTCAATTTTCATTAAATACATGCATACATAATTTTATATGTATGCCACCTTTCCACTTTTCAAACCAGGCTCAAAGCAGCTTACAGATGAAAAAAAATGCATAACTACAACATAACAAAAGTAGTCAATAAATGCAATAAATAAATAAAAAATAAAGAACCAAACTGAACGATTTCCACATAAATCACAAGATTTAAAAATAAAGATGCGAAAAACCAACATCAAGAAACATCCCCCCCCCACAATGTGAGCAAATAAATGTGGGTTGGTCGCTTTTTCATTCTCTCATGCAAGCAGTATTGCAGAATAATTTATCTTTTTATATACCCCCTTCTCTGCCCCACAGGAATGTCCCTCCATATTATATTCGGAGCAGATTTTACAGAATCAAGGCTTACCGTGTCCCTCATTGGAATAACAGAAGCTTCATGGGTGAGTTTGCTGGTCTTTCCACTTCCTTGGGGACAGGAAACCTGCGGCTCCACTCAGAAATTGTTTAGAATACAACTCCCATGATCCCCTGACCATTATCATGTTGGCTGGGGCTAATGGGAATTGGAGTCCAACATCTGAAGGGCCATCGGATCCCAATCCCTCACCCAGCTTGTGTCTAGTTTTTTTATCCCATCTATTGAACATATGAATCTTTTTCTAATGTACTTGGGCGGGGGACCTCAGCTCTGGGGAGACTTTCTCTGACGCTCAGCACTCTCACGCCCCTTCCTTGCCCTTCTCCAACCCCTTACTTGAGTGCTTTTGCTTGGCTGGAATGTGTCATTGAACGCTGATGGTGCCTCTTGCTTGCTTGAATGGAGGATAGAGAAGGGTTTGTGTGACTGGAAACCAGTCTTCTGTAGGAAAGCTAACATTTGCATCCATTTTTCTGCACGCTTTTGTCCTCACCCCAACCACCACTGGCATGTGGCTCCTGCAAAGTTGCCTGGGAAGGAACGTGACTCTTGGGCTAAAAAAGGTTCCCTCTGCCTGAACTGTGCACTGTGTGAAGAAGTGCTATCCTTTGTGTGGAGGGCACCACGTTGGCTAATGCAGCTTTAGCCTAAAGCCAGCCCATCTTTCCAGTTGCCTTTTCGCACTTGTCACATACCTCTGTGCTGCATTCATGCTCTTTCTATGTGTGTGAGTGTGGATGTTGTGGTAAGAATTTACTTCTACATGCGTATCTGTATTGTGGTAAGGTTAGAGTACACAGGGGGTTCTTAAAGCACATAATTTGAAGAAGTCTATATGGGGTTTGGAATAGGTATAAAGACCTCTTAGAAAGGAAAATGCCAAACTAGATAGCACCCATAGAAGCAGTGAAAAAGTGAAACATGTCAGTGAAAAAGACAAACATGAAAGAAAATTGGGGTACTTATAAAGATATAATTCAAAGAAGGCCAACCAATATTTAAAAAGAGAAAAGATATACAGTGGTACCTCGGGTTAAGAACTTAATTCGTTCTGGAGGTCCATTCTTAACCTGAAACTGTTCTTAACCTGAGGTACGACTTTAGGTAACGGAGCCTCCCACTGCTGCTGTGCGATTTCTGTTCTCACCCTGAAGCAAAGTTCTTAACCCGAGGTACTATTTCTGGGTTAGCAGAGTCTGTAACCTGAAGTGTCTGTAACCTGAAGCGTCCGTAAAACGAGGTACCACTGTACAAGACTGTATCAATGACTGGTTTCAGTACCATCAACTAAATCCTTTTTCCTTTATTTTAAAAAGATAAAGGAAAAAGGATTTAGTAAGAAAAGCTTGGAGTGTGAAAAAGTTATAATGGTTAACAGAGAAAAACTAACTTCCACAATTCATAATTTTTTGTTAGAATGGGAGACTAAGGAAGAAACAACAAAGGCAGCAATGATCCCATGGGCAATTGATTTGGGACATAACATAGACATGATATCCTGGGAGAGGCTGTGGAAAAAGCATTAAGCTTTTCAGTATGTCACACCCTAAAGGAAAACCTACAAAAGATGGTACCTCACCCTGACTAAATTGGTCAAAATGTATAAAAGAGGATCTAAGATGTGTTGGAAATGAGAAGAAATAGAGGGGACGTGTTGGGGATGTAAGAAAGTTAAGGAATATTAGATGATATAGACAGAAATAAAAAAAGATGTTAAGGCTGACATTTCCCCCCAAAATGGTAATGTTCCTTTTAGGTATAGCAGAGGGTGAGATACCTAAGAATGTTTTAAATCTTTTTCTTTATGCAACTGGTACGGCCACAGTAGCATATGCACAAATGTTGAAGGACAAAAACAGCTCAACAAAAGAGGGTTGGCAGAATAAGTTAAAAGAATACGTTACCAATCCTGACTATAAAGATAAGAAACCAGGATGTACATACCTTGAGAGAGGAGTGGGAGAATATTTAAAGAATAACGTAAATCTCCAAGTAGGACTAGATATGAATAGCAGCTGAATTAATTGGAAGGTATAGGAAGATTTGTAGCACAACTAAGATTAAAAAGGAACCCATGGAGGGAGGTGTGGGGAAGAAAGAACAAGGCAGACGGATAATGAAATGGATGTGCCAATTTACTGTAAAAGCATAAAGATTTTTTTTTTAATGACTTCTACACCACCTTGTTCATTACCCTGGTGGGGGAACGCATCTTAAAAAAACACACCCAGAAACCAAGGAAATAAAACAAATCCATCATCCAGGAGGGACCCAGCATTTATTAAAACTCTTGCAGTGGGATAGCCTTGCCAACCAGCTGCTCAGATGCTAGTTAGGACTGCCAACTGATGAGAGGCAACTCAGAACAAAGCTTATACAGTAGTTCAGACACATCAAACAAAGAGTACTAAGCATCTGAACATTCTTAAACATACATCAGAAAAGCTTATAGGTCATGAGAAGTAAAACACGCATGGCTCCATATTGGTATCCCCACAATCACCTTAGAGCGCCCCAAATATACCCATGCCATTTTAAGTTTTGGGTGTCATATGTTGCCCTGCTAGCCAAGCCTGTGAACGGAGCTTATTGACAGTCCTCTCTCTTATCTCACTCCCTTACCTCTTCCATTCCATTCCTGCCCCGACCTGGCCACAGTGATCCATGCGACGGTCACCTCCAGGCTTGACTACTGTAATTCGCTCTTCACGGGGCTGCCCTTGAAGCCGTCTCAGAAACTCCAGCGGGTGCAGAATGCTGCAGTGAGGCTCCTCACAGGGTCCCTGCCATGGGAGCATATTCACCCAGTGCTTTTCCAGCTGCACTGGCTCCCAGTGGAGTACAGGGTCAGATTTAAGGTGCTGGTTCATGGCCTAGGACCTTCGTACCTACGGGACCGCCTCACCCAGTACGCCCCACAGAGAGCCTCGAGGTCCATAAATAGCAACACCCTAGTGGTCCTGGGCCCTAAGGAAGTTAGATTAGCCTCAACCAGAACCAGGGCCTTCTCAACACTGGCTCTGGCCTGGTGGAACACTCTGCCTCATGAGACCAGGGCCCCGCAGGACCTGATTTCTTTCTGCAGGGCCTGTAAGACAGAGTTGTTCCGCCTGGCCTTTGGCTTGGAGCCAATTTGATTCCCTCCCCCTTTTTCTGTTTTCTTTTTCCTTTCCGCTCCTGTGATGAGGCTGCATTTTAATATTTCAATGTTTCAGTATTTTAATCTTGTTTTTAAGTTGTATTCATTCAACTTGTTTTTATTATTGCTTGTTAGCTGCCCTGAGACCGGCCTTGGCTGGGGAGGGCAGGGTATAAATAAAAATTATTATTATTATTAGTCCCTGAGCCTCTCAGGAAGCCTCAAGGATTTCTGATTAGCTCTCTGGTGCTGACTCATGATAGACATCCTGGAGGGCCATTTGTGCCATTTTCAGGGTTTTTTGTTTGCAGCCTAGAGAGCATACAGTTTTAAAATGCAGTCCCTCAAGATCCTTGCACAGAAAGCAAGCCTTTCCTTTCATGCAATTAAAAGCAAAACATTGAAGAGTTATTAAAATAAAAAATATACACCTTGGTTCTCTTAATTTTTATATCAGTGTCACTCAGGACAAGGCAGCTTCCAAAATTGTGGAAGGTGAACCAGGAACTCTTTCATGCTACCTCTCTTTGATTCCTTGGATGTTCCACCTGAACTGAAAATGGCAAGGCAGTTGGAGCAGTGCGGGGCCCCTTTACAACTGCACAACCTTGCCACCATCTGCAACCAACTGTGCTCCATGAGAGATGCTAGTTTTGACTTCCTGATAAGGTTCTTGACCCTTACCAGTCTTATCAGTTAGTATTACCTTGTTCTGTGGGTTCAAGTGTTGGAGGCGGGGCAAACCAACTATTGAAAATCCAGCAAGATCAGAGCATAATAAGAGCCCTGCAGAGTCAGGCCAAAGGTCCATCTGGCCCAGCTTCCTAATCTCACATTGGCCAACCAGATGCCTGTTAATTATGGGAACCATGCAAGCAGCGCTCCCTGCCCCCCACTTGTGATTCCCAGCAACTGGCATTCAGAGGCATGTTGCTTCCAGCAGTGGAAGGAGAACATAGCCATTGTGGCTCATTGAGATTTCGTATTTGTTTGTGTCTTTTTAAGAAATCATGACTCATCTGTATGAAGTGACACTTCCAATGTTAAAGAAACAACAGGCAGAGCTAATGGCAAGAAAGAATATAACTGTGGAGCCCCAGCAAGTTGAAGACCACAGTTGGAAAAGAGTTTTCAAGTTCAGCGACATCTTTCATGACAGCGACTATATCTCTGATGATGACTCGGACGATGATCAGGAGAATTAGGACCTGGAGCTTCCAATGCTAAGAGCCAGCAGAACTCTCTGAGTTCATAACAGACAGACAGTAATTCCACTGATAAAAAGAAAGAATATAATTTTTTCCCCTTCACTTTATAAAAAGATAAATAAAGCTTTATTTAATTTTGGAGGTTTGTACTTAATATTTTATTACTACTTTGTATTTGAAGGAGCAACAGACACATTGTCCATCAAAAGAATTATGGGAGAGGCTTTGAATCCACTGGGGTCCGGGAAGCTACCCCCAGAAATTCCTGTCCAAGATACGTTCATGCTGTATCTCTGCTAGGTTATTTTGGGGGAGGTGTATATTATTTTGGTGACCAGTGACATTTATTGTTTGGTCTGATATAAAGGTGCAACATTCAGTTCCCACTAAAGTACAGACTCCTCCTTGCTTATCTAAGAGGTAAAATAGGCAAAGTATTCTCTAATTTTTTTCCCTTGGTTATATGTATTTTCTTTTTCCTTTGTATTTTCTTTTGTTGTAAATATGTATGTTTTCTAATTTGTACTTAATAAAAATTACCGTATTTTTCACTCCATAACACGCACCCGACCATAACACACACATAGTTTTTAGAGGAGGAAAATCCGTAGGCATGCCACCCGTAGGCATTCCCTCCATAACACGCACAGACATTTCCCCTTACTTTCTAGGAGG